TGTGTGTGTGTGTGTGTGTGTGTGTGTGTGTGTGTGTGTAAAATCCTGAATCCCAACCCTTGAGAGACTAGCTTCAGTTACAAAGGGAATCCAGACCAGCCTGGGTGAATGAAAGAAACCCTGTCTGAAATCGATTAGCTAATCACTTAGAGAAACGGGCCATCACATCAATTTTCTTTCTCATGACAACACAGCTCTACATGGTGGCATTAGGAGAAAACAGTTTGAGGGTGGAGTTGAACCAGAAGTGGAAATGCGGGTGAGCTACTGAAGAGGACAGCAGGGCTGGTGACAGCAGGAGCAAACACACTGCATTTTGTTTTATTTTGTTTTGTTTTTTCGAGACAGGGTTTCTGTGTGTAGCTTTGGAGCCTATCCTGGCACTTGCTAGGCCAGCCTCAAACTCACAGAGATCTGCCTAATCTGTTGGGATTAAAGGCGTGTGCCACAGACGCCTGGCTAACACACTGGATTTTGCAACCTTTGGAACTGAACTCCCAGCATGTTCAATGTGGGATCTAAAAATCCAGTTTAATTTTTTACATTTCTTATTTATCTCTGTGTGTGTGTGCTCACATATGCACACAAACCAGCACACACATACATGAGAGCCATGGTGCACATGTGGATGTCAGGACAACTTTGAGTTGTTTCTCTTGCCTTCCATCATGCAATTTCCACACCTGTGAGTTCTAGGGATCAAACTCATGTCACCAGACTTGGCATAAAGCCTTTACCTGATGAGCCCTCTTAGCGAATCTCAACATGGGATATCCAAAAAAGCTAGGCCTGGTGGTATGTGCCTATAGTTAAAACACTTGGGGGAGAGATGCAGGGTCATCACAAGGTTTTTGGTAAACCTGGACCTCACTGATGGTTGGAGGCTACCTGACCTGCACAATAAGATCCTGTCTCAGGAAACCTAATTTGTGGTTAGGACACATAGTAAGGCCCTGGTCCTGGGTTTCATCCCTAGTTTGAGGGGAACATGGAGGAAGGGGCCAGCCTAATCCTAAAGGCCAACCTGTATATTATAGGATACGACTGGTGACAAGTTTGTACTCCTCAGGTAAAATTCAGACCTTCCTCTCATTGTAAAGGAGACTTGAGAACATTAACTTACCAGAATTGTTGGGAGTGAGGACTCTTGTGTGGCCTGAGTCCCCAATGAGGAATGGTCTAAAAGAGATCCCCTGTCCAGAGGAGGCAGATGAAGGTCTAAGGAATAGAAATAAAAGCATCAATAAAGCTAGAATCACACCATCCCAATTGTAATCTCAGAGGAGGGGATTTACAGAGGCAGGAGGATTGAGGCAAGTTCAAGTCCAAACTGGTCTACATAGTGAGTTCCAGGATAGCCAGGGTTATAGACCAAGACATATCTCAAAAACTAATTGGCCAACCTAATGAAGGTAAACACAACAGAGGAAAGATGAAGGTAGAAACGTATATAAAGAGTAAGCCTTTAGGCCAGAGAGGAGAGAAAACCCTGTCTACAACCGAGAAAGCAATAACTTGACTGCATATTATACACAGTATTCTCCCATCTTCTCATAAATTGTGGATTATGAATGCCAGTAGTATAGGCCACCAGACAAGGAACCCTAGGAATGTTGGCAGAATCACTGTGAATACATCACCAGAAAAAGGAAGCAAGACACTAGGCATGGTTGTGCTCCCCTATGATCCCAGAACTTAGGAGGCAGAATCAGGAGGAGTTCAAGGGTAGCCTCAGCTACATACTCAGTTTGAGGCCAACCTGAGCTATATGAGACCCTGACTCAAACACACACACACACACAGAGGAAGTGCAATGTTACTTACCTGTAAGAGAGGCTATGTGTTGAAGCTGGTGAAGGGGTTTCTGGAAAGCATAAATATGAGCCAGTGAGAAAATTCAGAATGGATTTAGAGGCTAGTGTGAAGGAAATGGGGTCAAAGTTTTTTTTTTGTATATATATTTTAGGGTTAGGGCTAATGATAAGTGAAAAGGCTCATAAGTCACTTAGTACCTCACAAAGGCACTCTTTTCCCTTTCTTGAGTGTGGGGGATAGGGCCCAACACTCCCTTGAAGTGCTTTAATATGTATGTGCTTTCTTTGGCTTTCCCTTTAAGATGGTAATGAAAAGTGTAGCCAAAGACAAGAGTCATGAAATTGTCTAGCAGGAGCATCAGTGAAAAGAAAGTGATACAGATCCCCAGCATCCAAGTCAAGGAGCAAGTTTGCAAAATCAGTCAGAATATCATTTCAGAACTCCTGAAATTATAAAGATCTGGAGGTAATCTGGAAAATGTACATTAATAAAAACAAAATACTGTGAATGTGAGTAGAAGCAGCTAATGTCATAACCTTTTAACCATACTCATGTCTCCTCCAGCTTCATGGTAGCTTTGGAAACCAACAGGCCATAATCATGATGAAAAACAGATTTGATAGTCACTAGAGGGAAGGAATGGGGTTGGAGTTCTTACGTGTTGCATAACATAGTTGTGCATATGTGCATGTGGATGCACATGTATGTGGAGGCCAGGAATTAATGTCACATGTCTTCTATTGCTTTATAGATTTATTTATTTATTTATTTATTTATTTATTTATTTATTGTTTTTCAAGACAGGATTTCTCTGTGCAGTCCTGGATGTCCTGGAACTCACTTTGTAAACCAGGCTGGCCTCAAACTCACAGAGATCTGCCTGCCTCTGCCTCTGCCTCCTGACAAATTTTCTTTTTAAGTTTTTCAAGACAGGATTTTTCTATGTAGCCTTAGCGCCCCATTGCTTTGCATGCTTTTTAAAACAAGGTCTCACTATGTAGCCCTGGCTTATCTAGAGCTCAGAGGGTTCCACATCTTCTGCCTGCTGAGTGCTGGAATTAAAAGTGTATGCCACCATACCTAGTCAGTACCTTAAAGGTCTATTTTCAATTATGTATACATGTGCATGTGAGTACAGGTGTGCAAGGCACGGGATCCCCCAGAGCTGGAGTTATACGAAGTTGTAAGCTGCAGGCCTGATGTGGGTGCTGGGAATAGAACTCAGGTCCTCCGAAAGAGCAACATGAGCTTTTAACCACTCAACCACCTTTATAGCCCTAGTACCTTATGTTTTGAGACAGTATCTCCTACAGAATCTGAGCTCACTAGTTCTGTTTGTCTGGCTAGAGAACAGTGCTGAGGTTACAGACACATGCCACTGTACCTGGATTTTACATGGGTGCTGGAGATTCAAAGTCAAGTACTTACTCTTGCCCAGCAGGCTCCTGACCAACTGAGCCACAGATCCTCAGACCCTCAAAGCTGCATTTTTAGACAACTGTCATTATGTGAACTGTTTGGTTCCCACACATAAGACTGTGGTTTGACGAGCTTAAGAACTAAAGGTCATCAGGGTTTTGAGCTCAGAGCTCATCACACCCCAGCCTCTTCCCCAGGAGTGTTTAATGAAAACAATAAAGCACCTGTTTTGGCCGCTTGAGAAGACAGACTTAAAGACATAAAGGGAAATGGAGGAATGAGACGTGTGTGGGACTCTGAGACATTCCAACACATGCCCAGCATCTAGGCTCAGGACTGTACATAAGTGCAGGAAGCAGCTAGAAAGGCCTAAGTTCTTACCGAACTAACCTCAAGGGTATACAAAAGGAAGGTCTCCAGGAACAGTTACCAGTTGGATGACCGAATGCTCTAAGTGGGCAAATTATGTGACACACAAGGAAAAGATTGTGGACTGTATTTTTAAAAAGTAAATAGCTGGGTAGTGGTGGTGCATGCCTTTAATTCCAGCACTTAGGAGGCAGAGGCAGAGGCAGAGGCAAGCAGACCTCTGTGAGTTCGAGGCCAGTCTGGTCTACAGAGCGAGTTCCAGAACAGCAAGGGCTATAAGAGAAATCCTGTCTCAAAACACCAAAAAGAAATTATAATAATAATATTTGCTTTGCTACACAAACCTGAGGGTCCGAATGCCTGGGTTTGATGCAGAGAACCAAGGGGAGAGGAGAGAACTGACTCCCAAAGTTGTCCTCTGGCTGCCACATGTGTGTTCTAGCACTAGAGCTCCTGCTCCCCACCCCTCCCTCATACAAAAATAATATTAACATGCTAGAAGAAAGAATGAGAATGGAGCTTCATCAAACCAAGAAAGAAAACTGTATAAAAAAGAACCAGTAGGAGCTAGGTGTGTGGGGGTGAGGGTGAGGGTGAGGGTGAGATGGCTCAGTTGGTCCTCATGTGTAAACATGAGGACCTACATTGGGAACCCCAATAAACCCACTTAAAACCTGGACATGGCATTGCAGTGTGAGCCTAAAACCCCAGCACTGGATGGGACCAGAGAGAGTTGGATCCCTAGGGTTCTGTACCTAGCCAGTCTAGCAAAAACTGCACGCTTAAGTGAGAGACCTTGTCTAACACATTAAAGTGAATGGTCCCCATGAAGCTCAGGGAGCACTAAGGAAGATGGGATAGTAAAATGTAAGAGCTGGAGGATGGGCTGGGGGAGGTGGGGGTTGGGGAGCTGGTGGCTCCCTCCTTTAATCCCAGCACTCGGGAGGCAGAGGCAGGCGGATTTCTGTGAGTTCAAGACCAGCCTCTGGTCTACAAGAGTTAGTTCCAGGACAGCCTCCAAAGCCACAGAGAAACCCTGTCTCGAAAAACAAAACAAAACAAAAACAACAACAACAAAAAGAGCTGGAGGATGAGGAGGAATGCTGTGAAATGCTGTCTTCTGGACATGCCATGCATTCATGAACTCCCAACAGATATGGCTTGCAGGATAAAGACAGTAAACAATTCCACTATGGATAGGGGAGGGCTATGAAACTTCACCTCAGCTGAGGAGTTATTGGCAATTGAAGGGGTGTCATTTTTCTTTGAGTGTGGCTGGTAGATTGCATATGTTCATGTAGGCAGCACTCGGTGGATTATTTTTTTTTAAAAGGAGAAAAAAAGAACATGAAGTTGGGAGGGAGGAGTGGGGTGACCTGAAGTGGGCATGGTAAATATCTTTTTTTTAAAAAAAGCTGGGCTTGGGGGCTGGAGAGATGGCTCAGAGGTTAAGAGCACTAACTGTTTTTCCAGAGATCCTGAGTTCAATTCTCAGCAACCACATGGTGGCTCACAACCATCTGTTATGAGATCTGGTGCCTTCTTCTGGTGCACAGATATACACGGAAGAAGAATGTTGTATACATAATAAAAAAAAATAAAATCTTTTTTTTTTTCCTTTGGTTTTTCGAGACAGGGTTTCTCTGTGTAGCATTGGATCCTGTCCTGGCACTCGCTCTGGAGACCAGGCTGGCCTAGAACTCACAGAGATCCGCCTGCCTCTGCCTCCCTAGTGCTGGGATTAAAGGCATGCACCACCAACGCCTAGCCCCAATAAATAAAATCTTAAAAAAAAAAAAAAAAGCTGGGCATGTAGTACATGCTTTGATCACAGTCCTGGGGAGGCAGAGGCAGGTGGATGTTTGGACTTTGAGGCCAGTCTGTTTTACAGAGTGAGTTCCACGATAAATAGTGAAACCCTGTCTCAAAAAAAGAAAAGCAAAAAGAATGAAATTAAGGAATTAAGGTGAATGGTTTGGTGAAATGGCTCAGTGGATAAGGCACTTGATGTCAAACCTGACAATCTAACTGAGATCCCAAGAACCCATATGGGTGAAAGAGAGGACCTGTTTCAAAAGAAGTCCTCTGATCTGCATGCACGTGGTGGCACATTTGTACCCACATACATATGCATACACTAAATGAATTAGTAAATACAATCTAAACATTTTTCTTGGGAGCAGGTATTGAGACAGAGTCTCTCTATGTAGCCCTGGCTGTTCTGGAACTCTATGCAGACCAGGCTGACCTCAAACTCAGAGATCTACCTGGCTCTGCTTCCTTAGTGATGGGACTAAAGGTGTTCTCTAACACACCCAGGTAATAAAGCATGTTTTAAAATGAGGCAAGCAGTGATTGAGGAAGACACCCAAAGTCAACTTCTGGCCTAAGTAAATAACAAAAACCCTGATATTCTTCATTTTAAAAGTATCCCTAGGACTGAGGTCCTTTGTATGGATGATCCAAACATTTAAGCAGTGCTGTTTTACACTTGGGTAGAGAAGGAACCAGCAAAGGGGAAGCCAGGGAAGTCAAAGAGAAATGTGAATTTTAGAATAAGAAAGAAACAAAAAATAAGAACCGTTTCAAGAAAGGAAAATGCTGAAGGTCTTTGTGGAAGAAGACCTGAAATCTCGTGGTTTGAAGTGAAATGAAGTTGAAGGATGAAGGACAAATGAAAAAGTTAAATGATACTGGAAAAAATTTAAGAAGCAGCTAGGCATGGTGGCAAATGCTCAAAAATCCCAGTTCTTGGGAGGATAAGGCAGAATAATTTTAAATTCAAGGCCAGCCTGATCTGTACAGTGAGACCCTGTCTCAAAAAAAAAAATTGGTCAGTTGTGGTACACACTTTCAATCCCAGCACTCAGGAGTCAGTGGCAGGTGGATCTCAGTGAATTTGAGAACAACTTGGTCTACATAGTACATTTCACGGGAGCCAGAGCTATGCAGAAAAATCATGCCTCAAAAAACAAAAACAAACAAAAAACAAAAACAAATCTGGCAGAATGTTCAATACCATTTAACTTAAAAAAAAAAAGAGTTACTATCTGAGAGTTCCCTATATTTTGCTTCTTGTCATAATAGCCAATGATTAATTGAACTTGTTTTTTGTTTTTTTTTTTTTGAGACAGAGTATCAAGTAGCCCAGAATGCAGTCAAAGATGACCTTGAACTCCTGATCCCTCAGCCTCAGTTTCTAGTGCTGTAACTATAGGTATGCACCACCATGTCCACTTTGCTACATGCTGGAGAACAAGTCAGGGCTTCATGAACCCTGTGCAAGCACTCTACCAACTGAGCTTCATGCTCTTTCCCTGGCAACAGATCTTAAAAATAGCAAGAAGAAGCCACTTATCACAAATAATACTCAGCAAGATTGGCACTGACTTTGTCATCAGGCATACCAGCTACCAGAGAGCACTCAAAAAGTTCCCAAAGATTATCAACCAGAAATTTATATGCAATAATACTATCTTTCAAAACTGAAGGAGGAATTAAGATATTCTTACACAAACAAAAATTTAGACACTGAATTTATCACTCTCAAACTTGCCTTATAAGAAATACTAAATGGAGTCTTTCAGGCTGAAATGAAAGGACACTAATTAGTAACTCAAATGCAGAAAGATAATTATGTAGGTAAAACAAAAGACAGTTTAAGTGCAATTTTCTTGGTAACCCCCCATAAGATTTAAAAGACAACTGTATAAGATAACAATTTAAAATTTGTGTTGCTGAGTATATTAATTCAACAGAACCATGACATTTAGTATAATATTGATGTTAAATGTGGAATTAATTTAAACCAGGTTTTCAAAATTTGTTAGTTGTAATCTCAAGCACTTTTGAATATACTAAAAGGGAGCTAAAGTGCTACTATAGAATTTATTAATGCTGTACTAGAATAAATTTAACACAAAGGAAGGCAGTGACAAAGGAATTAATGAAGAAAAAGGATCTTACATATATTAAAGAAATAGCAAAACGGCAGTTCTTTCTTATTAACAATTACATCAAATATAAATGTATTAAAGTTTCCAATTAAAAGGCAGAAAATCGAAGGGTGTTGTTGGCTCTCCCCTTTAATCCCAGCCCTCGGGAGGCAGAGGCAGGCGGATCTCTGTGAGTTTGCGGTCAGCCTGGTCTACAGAGAGAGTTCCAGGACAGCCTCCAAACAATACAGAGAAACCCTGTCTCGAAAAACAAACAAACACAAAACAAAACAAAACAAAACCAAAAGGCAGAAAATCAGGGCCAACGCTGCTCATGTCTGGTGACCCAGATTCAGTCTCCAGAACTCACCTAAAGTGGAAGAAGAGAACCAGCTCCACAAGACTGTTTTCTGATATCCACACATGTTGTCATGGTTTGGTATGTATGCATATGTACACATTCTAAGTTTTAAAAAAAACATTTACAGAAAATCTAAATACGCTGGGGATATAACTCAGTGGTAGAAGATTTGCCTGGTATGTATATGATCTCCAGCACTGATTGAAAAGAAGGGGAAAAAGAAGGAAAGAAGGGGACGGGCATTGGTGGTACACACCTTTAATCCCAGCACTCGGGAGGCAGAGGCAGGCAGATCTCTGTGAGTTCAAGGCCAGCCTGGTCTACAGAGCGAGTAACAGGATAGGCTCCAAAGCTACACAGAGAAACCCTGTCTCAAAAACAAAAACAAAAAAAAAAAAAAAAAAGGAAGGAAAGAAGGAAGCTAACAAGGAAGGAAAGAAGGAAAAGGAGAAAAGGATGTGTCTGTGTCTCAGTGGGAGTATGCTTGAGGCCCCTAATTCAATCCCAGCACCACATACACACAAGATGGTCCATGCAGAAAGCAAACAAGAAAAGTGAGGTGGCTGTACTAGTAACAGACAAAACAGACTTTCAGAAAAACTGTTACTAGGAACAAAGCCCATGTTTTTACCTTTAATGAACAGTGAAAAGCCAAACACCTTTCTGGTTTGCAACTGATGTTTTCTGGGCTGGTGAGATGGCTGAGCAGATAAAGGGCTGGCTGCTCAAGCCTCTGACCTGAATTTGAGCTCTGAAGCCCACACAGAGGTGGAAGGAGACAACTGGCTCCACACAACTTTCTCTCTGACTTCCATATGTGTGCCATGGCAGCAAATGTAGAAACAAGTTGCTATCATTACAAAAGAAATTGGCATTTGGTTAGCTTTTTCTTTTAGACTTAATTTCTACTGCCATCTTGTGGCAGTTTTGAAAACTCAACTCAGTTAAGTTTTTCTGAGTAGGGTCTTTCTTT